TGGATGCCGCACTATTGGTGGTGGTTGAGGAGATTCCCCATAGATATGTATAGGTGCCACGTTCAACCGCTCCAGATACGTTGATGCGTCTGCCATTTTGGAATGGTCAACTTGACGTCATTTACCATAATAATCATTGAATATTCAAAGATATACATGCGTATAACTTGCTGTTGAGGACACACAGTCAAATTGCGCTCGAGGGTTCGCAGACCTTTCCAAAATGGCGGATGACTTGCGTATCAGAGCCATAGAAACAGTCAATAATGAGGCATCTACATATACTGTATATCCATGAGATTCCCCCATCTATGCAAAGTGCCTTGAGTACCCAGAAAAGCGCTATATAAATGTAACAAATTATTATTATTATTATTATCACTTCTTTTTAAATAATTCCAACTACATATCAATGACAGATGTCCTTCCTCTGTCGATTACGTTGCTGTCTGCATCTGGCCCTCTTCTTCACTGTAGTCTCTTCACCACTATACCTTCTACGTTCTTGTTAAACTTTGTGGTTGCTTACTGAGCATCAAACTCGGACATCTAACTTTCACAACTGTTGCTTATTCATCCTAACAAAGCAAATATTGCAAGTGCAAACATTTTTATATCAAAGCATATACGGTGTTAACCTAAATACAAGAAAATTACGTAACATTGAAGCAGGTAAATACCAATAACAAAATCAATATCTAAAACAATAGATAGAAAGATAGATACAGGTATATAACATAATATAGATACAATTTGTGGATATTTTATTATTATTCAGGTTTTCATTTTTGTATTATTTTGTCAGCTCATTTAGTTGCTGAATATACCTTTCATGTGTTTTCATGTTTTCTTTGTTATATTAATGTACTCCACATAATCAACTATATGATTTTTTCCCCTTCTATTCTATTCTATTTTGTTAAAGCCAAAGTGACAGATCAATCTCACCAGAGTCCAGCTGTGTGTCCATGAAGAGTAACCAGTCTATGGAAAAACCAGTAAAATTTGAGGGAAGACACACATCACCTGATCTGAGGTACAACATCTCTTTTTAAATAGATTCATGTGAGAATGTGAGAATAGATTACATTGATTGGTTTTGATTGTTCTGTATGACAGGTTAATTTATAAGGTAATTCTGTGTCATTTCAACAAAATTGTACAAATTTCCCTTGCACACATTTGGATTTTCGACTGCTTTTCACTGCTCAATTGTATTGTCTCTGTTCTGTCCATGTTTGTCCATAATTAGTGAGCAGTTAACGGACACTCCAGGAACATTTAGGGGAAAACACATGCCATCTAATCTGAGGTAAAATATTTCTGTCTAGGCTGTCAAGAGATTTTTTTGTTATCAGTTTTACTCATCTGATTTATGTCTTAATCTAATGTTTTATACTTTCAGTCATGACACTAAACTAGTCCAAAGCAGATTCAAATCAGATCTGCTGAGTAAGTTTCAGTGTCTGCATGAAGGAACAGTGACGCAGGGAAACCCAACTCTCCTGAATAAGATCTACACAGAGCTCTACATCACAGAGAGTGAGAGTGGAGAGATCAATAATGAGCATGAGGTGAGACAGATTGAGACACAATCCAGGAGAGCAGCAACAGAGGACACAGCCATCAAATGCAATGACATCTTTAGAGCTTTACCTGGACAAGACAAAGCCATCAGAACTGTGCTGACAAAGGGAGTCGCTGGCATTGGAAAAACAGTCTCTGTGCAGAAGTTCATCCTGGACTGGGCTGAAGGGAAAGAGAATCAGGACGTCCAGCTCATATTTCCACTTCCTTTCAGAGAAATCAACTTGATGAAGGACAAAACACTCAGTCTTTCAGATCTTCTTCATGTCTTTTTCCCTGAAACTAAAGAAATGGAAATATCCAGTGAAGAATATAAAGTGTTGTTCATCTTTGATGGTCTGGATGAGTGTCGTCTGTCTCTGGACTTTAAGAGCGATGTGAGGTTGTGTGATGTTAGTGAATCAGCCTCAGTGGATGTGCTGCTGATGAACCTCATTGTGGGGAATCTGCTTCCCTCTGCTCTCATCTGGATCACCTCCAGACCAGCAGCAGCTGATCTCGTCCCCTCTGAGTGTGTCCATCGAGTGACAGAGGTACGAGGCTTCAATGAGCCACAGAAGGAGGAATACTTCAGGAAGAGAATCAGTGATCAGAGTCTGGCCGACAGGATCATCTCACACCTGAAGTCATCAAGGAGCCTCTTCATCATGTGCCACATCCCAGTCTTCTGCTGGATCTCAGCCGCTGTTCTATTATCTGAGATCTGGACAAATAGGAGAAACCAAACTCTCCTCTTCACAGTGGTCAGCTATGGTTTATGTGCTGCTGACATCAGAGCAGAAGATGGATGAGTTTAATCTAAAACAGTTTGTTGGAGCCCAAAATACAGCACATGAAGTTCTTCAGAAGCTGCTGCCTGTGATTAAAGAATCCAGATCAGTTCAGTAAGTCACACTGACAACAATCACTACACTGATAAAACATGATCACATTTAGCACTTTAGCATGTACTTTCTTACCAAAGCAGTAAAAGGAAAAATCATATATCATTTATATCAGTGTTTCCCGAACTGATAGACCGAAGAGTGTCATTGTTCTCTACAGGTTGAGGGATTGTGGAGTCACAGATGAAGGTTGTGCTGCTCTGGCTTCAGCTCTGAGATCAAACCCCTCACACCTGAGAGAACTGGATCTGACTGGAAATGAAATGGGAGTGTCTGGACTGAATCTGCTCTCTGATGAACTTAAAGATCTTCACTGTAGACTGGAGAAATTGAAGTAAGAATGTATACAAGTCCAGCATACTCCATCATTATCATCCCACTGTAAATAATGTATGATATACAAAAAAGTTAAAAGTAAAGTAAAAAAAAAAAGCGCAGTCAGATAACTGAAGAGAATGTTTTCTTAAACTTAAAGGGTTAGTTCACCCAAAAATGAAAATTAGCTTGTGTTTTACTTACCCTCGAAGCATCCTAGGTGTATATGACTTCTTTCAGACGAATCCATTTGGAGTTATATAAAAAATTGTCCTGGCTATTCCAAGCTCTATCATTGCAGTCAGCGGGTGTTGCAGTTGAACAGTCCACAAGTCGTGAAATAAAGCGTGCGCATTCACAATAAAACGTGCTTCACATGGCTCCGGGGGGTAAATAAAGGCCTTCTGTAGTGAATGCATGCATTTTTGTAAGAAAAATATCCATATTTTAAACGTAATAAACACTTTTCTCACACTTCCGCTATCTGTAACATGCGGAAGACGTTCCGGCGGATGACGTAGGACGTCGGCATTGCGTGATAAGTGACGAATGCGGAGAGAGAACAAAACAAAACGCTGGTCACGAATTAGAAGTACAAACCGAGGATTTGCAAAGAAAAATGTCGGAGGATTTCGATATAAACCAAGAGGAGACTGGTTTTCCTTTACTAAAGTAAGGAAACTTTGCTTCCTTTGCTCCTATAAACAAACTCGCGATACTAGCATATCTCAGAGGCGCGTGCCCTGCGCATACGTCATCCGTCGGAACGAATCCGCATATGATAGATAACGGAAGTGAGAGAAAAGTGTTTATTACGTTTGAAATATGGATATTTTTCTTACAAAAACGCATGCATTCACTACAGAAGGCCTTTATTCACCCCCCGGAGCCGTGTGAAGCACGTTTTATTGTGAATGCACACGCTTTATTTGATGACTTGTGGACTGTTCAACTGCAACACCCGCTGACTGCAATGATAGAGCTTGGAAGAGCCAGGACAATTTTTAATATAACTCCGACTGGATTCGTCTGAAAGAAGAAAGTCATATACACCTAGGATGACTCGAGGGTGAGTAAAACACAGTCTAATTTTCATTTTTGGGGGAACTATCCCTTTAATTAGATTATTTTCAATGGGTATGACATCATTTTATTAACATGAATACATTTAGCAGATGCTATTATCCAAGGCATCTTGCATTACATTCACTGGAATTGAACTAATGATCTTGGTGTTGCTCATTCCATGCTCTACTGTTTGAGTAACAGAATTGCTTTCTTTGCTACTGTATATAGATAATATGACGATATGACAACTGTTTTCATTTTATACAGATGTGTTGAGGATTTTGAGGTACTCTCATCAAAAAAAAAAAAAAAAAAAGATTTTTAGATTTTAATGGTACCTGTACTGAAATGCCCCGCTGAATTGTCGAAGTGGGTCTGAACCTTAGACTGGACCTGTTAATCGTGTCGTGGATTAAGTCTTTCTTTCTGATTGTGAAGTTGCTGCTGATCTGAGCTGTAGATCCTGAACTGAGAGACTGAAGAGTGTCATTGTTCTCTACAGGTTGAGGGATTGTGGAGTCACGGATGAAGGTTGTTCTGCTCTGGCTTCAGCTCTGAGATCAAACCCCTCACACCTGAGAGAACTAGATCTGACTGGAAATGAAAGGAGAGATTTTGGAGTCAAGCAGCTTTCTGGTCTACTGCAGAATCCTCACTGTAAACTGAAAATACTGAGGTAAGTTTGTATAAAATGTATCAACATCCTCCTCTGTTTTTCTCATATGGTGAATAATGATTGCTATACAAAAAAAATGCTGTGAAATTAGTGATAGGAATGTTGCTTTTGTCTTCATTAGATTCTTTCCAACGTGTCTTACATTTACTTATTATTATTTTTAATAATAGAAAACATTATTGGATGAGGTGAAGATGATACAAGTACAGTGGGTACGGAAAGTATTCAGACCCCCTTACATTTTTCACTCTTTGTTATATTGCAGCCATTTGCTAAAATCATTTAAGTTAAAATGTGTTAACCCTCTGTCAGGTTTTTAATTATAACAGTGAAAATAACTAAAAATACGCCGTCATTTTTGATCGTACAGATAAGAATAAGGCATCATTTGAAACTGCAGAGGGGTCTACTTTTATTTGTGTATAGTCATAATAACAACAAAACAATGTTCTTTTTTAAAATAAAGAAAACAAACAGGGTGCGCTCTCTGCTATCTCGATCTGTCATTTTTCTTCACAGACCCATAAATAAAACAACCTGAATCTCAGCGAATACTTGCCTCACAGACATGATAAATGTATGTATAGAAAGATTGACACGTCTACTATTAAATGGAGTAAGTCGACTACGAAAACAAATATTCTCTGATAAAGTAATCCGTCTGAAACCAACGAGTGTTGCAGTTTTTCCTGTCTTAGCTCATTATCTGTAATTGGGTTAACGCCCACGAGCCGAGCGGCTATTGATATTATAGATATCCACGTGAGATGCGCGAACCTGTAAACGCCCTCATCACCTCCATAAACGAAGCCTGTGGATTTCATCTCGGCTACTTTTTGTTTTTGGAAGAAGACTCACTGAAGGGCTTTTCACACATGAAACTGCTAACCCTGGGTCATCATAAACCCCGGATAAACGGAATCCTGGGTTATCTGTAATCATGTTTCACACTGCTATACCTCTGGTAAACTGTTAATCATGGGTATTCATTAACAGACGTTTCACACTGTACATTCCTAAACCCCGGGTTAACGTTCTTATTTGCATATTTGCAGTGTGACTGTCACTGATTGGACGAACAGCAGGCAACCTGTTTACATGCTTTCCATCTTTTTACATGTCTTACTTTTCTCTCACCGGCTGCTGTTTACACGACGCGTGTTTCCTGTTACTGACGTGACATTAGCCTCGCTGCTCAATTTCTGATTGTCTGTTGCCATGCGTCCAGCAGCAACAAGTAAACACCGCTCCGTATCACACTGAACACACTTAGCACCGCAATGCGGCCTATGAGAGGAATAAGCCAGAATTTACCTCAGAAGAAGAACGTGATGCGACGCGTGGCTTGATCCAGTGGAGGATCTCATTCTGATGAGTAAGATTCAGGGCCGGCCCGTGGCATAAGCGGAATAGGCAAATGCTAGGGGTGCCAAAATGTGTTACGTTTTTTTAAACTATTTTTTTATTCAGTTAAATTCAAGTTTATTTGTATAGCGCTTTTCACGATACAAAACATTGCAAAGCAGCTTTACAGGAAATTGTAAGTTTCTACATTATATTTAGGAGTAGGTTATTAGTGGTGACTATGACAGAAATGTACAGTAAGAATCATGCAGTTAGTTACAACACAACACAATTAACTGCAATGATTATATGTTGCGATTAAACTTATAGCAAAATCTTTGTTTTATTACAAATACTACTTCAATACAATGAATTTAAAATATTACAAAAAAGCGATCGTCCCACAAAAACATAACGTCTCAGGTTACTTATGTAACCATGGTTCCCTGAGTAGGGAACGAGACACTGCGTCCTCTAGGGGTCGCTATGGGGAACGCCTCGTCGTGACCCGTGTC